AGGATCCCCTGAGGTTGGTTAGACTAGCCTAAACTAGCCTAACATGGAAAAACCCTGCCTCTACTAAAAATACAAAATTAGCTGGGCATGGTGGCGCATGCCTGTAATCTCAGCTATTCGGGAGGCTGAGGCAGGAGAATTGCTTGAACCCTTGAGGCAGAGGTTGTGGTGTGCTGAGATCGTGCCATTGCACTCCAGCCTGGGCAACAAGAGTGAAACTTTGTCTCAAAAAAAAAAAAAAAAAAAGAATCGGAGCCGGGCATGGTGACTTGTGCTTGTAGTCCATGCTACTCAGAAGGCTGAGACAGGAGGATTGCTAGAGCCCAGGAGTTTCAGGCCTCAATGAGCTATGATGGTGCCACTGCACTGCAGCCTGGGTGACAGAGTGAGACTGTCCCTAACAAAAAAGAAGAAAGAAAGAAAAGAAAATAGGCAAGCTATACACAGGAGAAAATATTCACAAAGTATGTGTCTGACAAAGGACTAGTATCCAGGATATATATAAAGAATTCCTACAACTCAATAATATAAAAGCAATCCAATAAAAATCCAACAAAAATATGTTATTAATATTAGTGTATTAATAACAAGTAACACATAAAAATGTCCTCTACATGAGTAGTCATTGGGGAAATACAAATAAAAACCACAACCAGCTGTCATTACACACATACCTGAATGGTGAAAGTTAAAAATTCTGACAATACAGTTAAGGTTGGAGATGTACTCACACATTGCTGGTGGGTGTGTGAATGAGTACAATCACTTTGGAAAGCTATTTAGAATTATCTACGTACGTTGAACATATGTATCTCCTACGACCCAGCAATTCCACTCCTAAATACACACTCAACAGAAATATGTACAATTGGCCCAGCGTGGTGGCTAACACCTGTAATCCCAGCACTTTGGGAGGCTGAGGTGGGTGGATCACAAGGTCAGGAGTTCAAGACCAGCCTGGCCAACATGGTGAGACCCTGTCTCTACTAAAAATACAAAAATTAGCTGGGCGCGGTGGCAGGTGCCTGTAATCCCAGCTACTCGGTAGGCTGAAGCAGGAGAATCACTTGAACGTGTGTGGCAGAGGTTGCAGTGAGCTGAGATCGCACCACTGCACTCCAGCCTGGGCGACAGAGTGAGACTGTCTCAAAAAAAAAAAAAAAAAAAAAAGAAAAAGAAAAAAGAAAAAGAAATATGTACAGTCCAGCACAGTAGCATGTGCCTGTAGTCCCAGCTTACATGGGAAGCTGAGGCAGGAAGATCACTTGAGGTCAGGAGTTTGAGGCTGTAGTGTGCTATGATGGCACCTATGAATAGCCACCATACTCCACCTGTCTCTAAAATTTTTTTAAAATTAAAAATAAAGAAATGTGTGGCTGGGCATGGTGGTACATGCCTGTAATCCCAGCACTTTGGGAGGCTAAGGCGGGCAGATCACCTCAGGTCAGGAGTTTGAGACCAGCCTGAACAACATGGTGAAAACCCATCTCTACTAAAAAAACAAAAATTAGCCGGTCATGGTGGTACATGCCTGTAATCCCAGCTACTCCGGAGGCTGAGGCAGGAGAATCGCTTGAACCCAGGAGGCAGATGTTGCAGTGAGCTGAGATCACGCCATTGCTCTCCTGCCTGGGCAACAAGAGCAAAACTGCGCCTCAAAAAAAAAAAAAGAAAAAGAAAATAAATATGTACAATATGTTCACCAAAAGACATGTACAAGAATGCTCAAAAGACATATACGAGAATGCTCACAATTGCATTATTCATTATAGCCTAGAACTTGAAACAGAAGTCCACCAAAACACACTATGGGACATCAGACAATGAATGCTGCACAGCAATGGACGAGAGCAAACCATTGCTACAGCCAAGAAAGTAGAATCTCACAAGCATAACGGACTGACGAAGCCAGGTGTCCTGAAGAGCCAATGGCAGATGATTCTGCTTATGACAGGCAGAACTGGTCACTGGTGTGCAGGTCAGCCTGGTAGCTTCCTTGGGGGGTGGGCAAAGACAGTGACTGGCAGAGGGCAAGAGGGGGCTTCTGGTCACATTTAGGGCTTGTTTTTGACCTGGGTGGTGGCTTCACAGGAATTCCCACTTATGATCTGTCAAGCTTCTCACATGTAATTTGTTATCTTTCCTGTATATGGTTCATTTTTAAAATAACAGACTTAAAAAAAAATTTTTTTTTTTAGACAAAGTCTTGCTCTTGATGCCCAGGCTGGAGTGCAATGGCGCGATCTCGGCTCACTACAGCCTCCACTTCCCAGGTTCCAGTGATTCTCCTGCCTCAGCCGCCTGAGTAGCTGGGATTACAGGTGCCTGCCAACACACCCAGCTAATTTTTGTAATTTTAGTAGAGACAGAGTTTCGCCATGTTGGCCAGGCTGGTCTCGAACTCCTGATCTCAGGCGATCCGCCCACCTCGGCCTCCCAAAGTGCTGGGATTACAGACGTGAGCCACTGTGCCTGGCCAGGCTTTATTTTTTAGAACAGTTTTAGAACTTTGTTCTTCAGAGCAAAATTGAGCAGAAGGTGCTCAAAAGATGTCCCATATACCCGCTACCCCTACACATGCACGGCCTCCCCCACTGTCAACACCATCTACCAGAGTGGCACATTTGCTATAGTTGAGGAACCTACATTGACAAGTCATTATCACCCGAAGCCCACGGTTCACATCAGGTTTCACTCTTGGTATTGTATATTCTGTGGCTGTGACAAACGTACAATGGCATGGATCCACCACTACAGTATCATACAGATCCTCTGTGTCTGCCTATTCATCCCTACCCAACTGAATCTTCAGGGTTTTTTCGTTTTGTTTTGTTTTATTTTGAGTCGGAGTCATACTCTGTCACCCAGGCTGGAGTGCAGTGGTGCGATCTCAGCCCACTGCAACTTCCGCCTTCCTGGTTCAAGCGATTCTCCTGCCTCAGCCTCCCGAGTAGCTGGGATTACAGGTGCCTGCCACCACGCCTGGTTAATTTTTGTATTTTCAGTAGACATGGGGTTTTGCCATGTTGCCCAGCCTGGTCTCAAACTCCTGACCTCAAGTGATCTGCCCGCCTCGGCCTACCAAACTGCTAGGATTACAGTGCAGTTTTCAACTTAAAAAAGCTATACATAGATAGTACTGTGAAAATAGATGGAATCTTTCTGGGACAATGAAGAAATGAAGCTTCTTAATTTGGAGTTCACAACACTTAGTGGAACCCTCAAACCCCTTCATGATGTTGTATGAAAAAAATCATATATATGTATTATGTGCACTTATTTTTTTCTGGGAAGAGTGACTAGCAGAGAATCAAAGGAGTCTATGACCCCGGAAAATGTTCTGACCCTCTGGTGTGGAGTGAGGGAGCAGTGGGTGAGAATGGAGACTCAGGTCAAAAAGACCTGAAGGACGGTCAGGGAAACAGCATCGGAAAGGAGCCAGGCAGGGAGTGGGCACGGATGCAGGGAGGGTGGGGGGCATTCCGAGTCATGGAAGTCACAAGAGGGGGTGGCTCCAGAAGAGAAGAACAAAGAAGGAGAAATGGAGCAGGTAGGACTAACCAATATGGCAGAACCTGCTCACTGGGCTCACAAAGGAGAAGAGTGTGGCTTCCAAGGTGGTGGCAGGGGAAGAAACCAGGCTGTGGAGAGCTGAGGAGGGCGTGGCACCCACCCGCACTTGCTTTCCCTAATCCATGCGGTTTCTTAGCCCTGGGCACTGCATTTTCTCTTTCCAGGGCCCCTCATGCTCTTCCCTCCACTCCTCACATATCTGGATCATTCTAAACTTTCAGGCACTAGACTGGGTGCGGTGGCTCACGCCTGTAATCCTAGTACTCTGGGAGGCCGAGGTGGGTGGATCACCTGAGGTCAGGAGTTTGAGACCAGCCTGACCAACATGGTGAAACCCCATCTCTACTAAAAATACAAAAATTAGCTGGGTGGGGTGATGAGCACCTGTAATCTCAGTTCCTTGAGAGGCTGAGGCAAGAAAATCGCTTGAACCTGAGAAGGGGAAGTTGCAGTGAGCCAAAATCACGCCCCTGTGTTCCAGCCTGGGCAACAAGAGTAAAACTCTGTCTCAGAAATAAACAAATGAATAAATAAATAAATAAACTTTCAGGCACTGTTGTTGCTTCAGAAAGAACACCCACTGAAGTACATTTTCTCAGTTTCTCTCAGTTTCTCTCTCTCTCTCTTTTTTTTTTTTTTTTTGAGATGGAGACTCACTATGTTGCCCATGCTGGTCTCAGATGATGTCCCACCCTTCCCCACTTTGGCCTCCCAAAGTGCTGGGATTACAGGTGTGAGATCCCATGTCCGGCCTGCTCAGTCTCATTGCCTCTTTTTGTCTTCTTCATAGGACTTTACAAGAATATGTGCACTTCTCGTTTTTAGTTACCTATCTGCCTGCCGATTCCCTGCCTTCTGCATTGGAATGTAGGCTTCAGGAGGTCGGCGGCCTTGTCTGTTGTGTTTTCCTGGTTCTCCCGAGCCATGAGCCTGGTGCACGTGCGGGTAGGTCCTCCGCCGTGTGGGGAGTGCATGTGCGTGCAGACAGATGCTGGCGACTGTGATGAGGCCTCCCTTCCAAGGAGCTGAGATGCTCAGGGAAGGACAGAGATTAGATAACGGCTGATGGGCATCAGGGACCCTGGAGGATGGCGTTAGGACAGAAGGCAATGGTGCATGCTTGCCAGCTGAGGGGAGGGGTCAATCTAATGAGTCTGAAGATCAAAGAAAATGAGGAAATAGTTGATAGTGAGCTGGGGAGGATTCTGTGTCCAAACAGGAGGTGGTAATGACCTTGAACCCCAGGAGCTAAGAAGAAAGAGGCAACCCTGGGAGAGGGTGAGACTGTGATATAACAAAAAATGTAGCCAGGCACAGTGGCTCATGCCAGTAATCCCAGCACTTTAGGACGCTGAGGTGAAAGTGTCATTTGAGGCCAGGAGTTCAAGATCAGCTTGGGCAACATAGTGAGACCTCATCTCTACAAAAAATAAAAAAATTAGGCAGGCATGGTGCCTGTAACCCCAGGTACTCAGAAGGCTGAGGTCCTGTGCTCCAGCCTGGGTCCTGTGTCCAGCCTGGGTCCTGTGTCCCTTGAGTCCTGTGCTCCAGCCTGGGTGACAAAGGGAGACCCTGTCTAAAAAAAAAAAAAAAAAAAAGGCTGAGCTAGGCTGGGGTTCTGCTGAAACAAGGCAAGGTACAGAGAAGGAAAGATGCTGATGAGGGGGAGGTTCAAGCAGCCCGGAGTTCAGGCTCGGCTGGAAGAGAAGCAGGACCAGGAAGAGGTGATGGGGTGGGAGGGAGCAGAGGCGGTGTGTGAGTTAAGGAGAAGGTGTGGTGGGAGGCAGGCATAGGGGATGGAGGTGGGGTCAGAGAGTGGGGTCCTGGTATTCAAGATTTCAGGGGCGGAGCAGTTTCAGTTGATGACAAAGTACAGGGTGTGGCACAGGAGTGGGCACCTGAAGGGAGAGAAAAGGGAAGGCCTTGGAGTGGAGGAAGTGAAGGTGCACAGAGGCGGCCATTCGGTATCCTGCACGGGGCACTGAAGCCACCCTTTCTGGGCTGGAGCAAAATACCGCTCTAAAGCTACATGCCCGAGTACTCACTGCGCGACGGGGAGTGGGCAGTGAGCATTCATCATTCATTTCTTCATTCAGGGAAATACTTACTGTTTATTAACTTTACCGCATGGTGAGCCAGGCAGACACAGATGCTTCCCTAGTGGATCTGACTGTCTCCCACGAAGCCATCATGGCAGACACACACGAGTTTCTCTGGTCCCTTCCTAGGAGGGGCAGAGGGTGTTCAGCAGGATGGCAGGAGGCCTGGGGAGCAGAGGCTTCTACACAAGTGTGGAGGTATCGGGGTCTGGCAGCAGCAGCCTGGAGGGCAGAGACCTCAGTTCCCCACGGTGTCCTCAGGGGAGGGCCATGGCAGGGGTGGAGGCAGGTGGATGATGTCACAGGGTCTCTGTACTCCAGAAGATGGCTCCAGGGAGCCGCAGGGCTTTTAGGATCTAGGGAGGACACAGGCAGATTGGGAAGAAGCAGAGGTGCCCAGGAAGTAGACGGGAGGGATGGTCTACAACATTGTAGCAGGACTAGCCGCAGACAAACCTCCTCAGACACTGAAATAAAGAAGGAAGGGGTTTATTCGGCCAGGGGCATTGGCAAGACTTCTGTCTCAAGAGCCGAGCTCCCCGAGTGGGCAATTCTGGTCCCTTTTAAGGGCTCACAACTCTAAGGGGGTGCGTGTGAGAGGGTCGTGACTGATTGAGCAAGCAGCGGGTACGTGACTGGGGGCTGCATGCACCGGTAATTAGATCGGAACAAAACAAGATGGGGATTTTCACAGTGCATTTCTATACAATGTCCGTAATCTATAGATAACAGAACCAATTAGGTCGGGGGTCGGTCTTTAACTACCAGGCCCAGGGTGCGGCGCTGGGCTCTCTCCCTGTGGATTTCATTTCTGCCTTTTAGTTTTTACTTCTTCTTTCTTTGGAGGCAGAAATTGGGCATAAGACAATATGAGGGGTGGTCTCCTCCTTTAACATGAGGGCCCCCCCATCAAACTCCACACTCTTGGGTAACTTCCGCAATGCACACGAGGCTCAGGCTTGCACCCAACCCAGACCCACAGATGCCTTTGACTCCCCCAAGTGAGTGCACCCCTGTTTCTACTGACATCTCGAAAGTCCTACCTTATATGCTGTCACATGTTGCAATGGCTTCACTCTGCCAATAGACTCAGCAGGCTTCCACCAAACAAGAGACCTGGAGAAAACCAGCGCTGTTACTCCATGGCTTTCACGTGCTTGAGAACCATTATCCCTTCACAACATTCGAATCCAAAATTCCCTATTCTCATAGCGCCCATTTCCCAAGTGTATACACCTTAAAAATGATGTGTGCTGAAAAGAAAAGTTGCTAATTCCTGATGTTGTATTCTGTCCATCTACCAGTGTGCCACTCCCGCCAAATAAATCCTGGGGGAGAGAGAAGGAGGTCACTCACATTAGCATAAATGTTCATAGGTGAAACCAGCAGTTCTAAATGGGATCTTGAAAACCTGTTTAAGAAAATGATGGGGGCCGGGCATGGTGGCTCACACTTGTAATCCCAGCACTTTGGGAGGCTGAGGTGGGTGGATCACTTGAGCTCAGGAGTTCCAAACCAGCCTGGCCAACATGGTGAAACCCTGTCTTTACTAAAAATACAAAAATTAGCTGGGTGTGGTGGCAGGCGCCTGTAATCCCAGCTACTAGGGAGGCTGAGGCAGGAGAATCGCTTGAACCAGGGAGGTAGAAGTTGCAGTGAGCTGAGATCACACCACTGTACTCCAGCCGGAGCAACAGAGCAAGACTGTTTCAAAAAAAAAAAAAAAAAAACAAGACAAGTATTCTTCTGAGAATTGGACATTACTGACCTCCAAAGTTATTAATCACAGTGTGTGTTCTCTGAATTTCAAGTTTCCACGATGTTTATCAGCTATTGGCAAATTAAGCGCATATTATTTATGGCAATAAGCAATATATTTTTTCCAAATAATTAAACATTTGATATATTTACTAAAGAATTAAAAATCACAATGTCTATCAAAATAATTATAAGAATTCACGTATTAAACAAACACATGCTGACAACCTACTTTACGCCAGGCACGGTGCCGGGCATTAACATAGAGCTGAGCTGGGGGTGCCCTCTAGTAGCTCCCAGTGCGAGATCAGACAGATGAGGGATCCAGGACTTTGGGATCAGGCACTAAAGCTGTGATAGAGGGATGGGAGATGCCAGGGGCAGAAGCTCAAATGAGGATCAAGAATGGTTTCAAGGGCAAGTCATGCTTGAGCTGACTTGATTTTTTTTAATTAAAAATTTTTTAAAGTATTTTATTTTATTGTTTGAGATGTGGTCTCACTATGTTGTCCAGAGGCTGGTCTCAAACTCATGAACTCAAGCGATCTGTCTGCCTTGGCTTCCCAAAGTGTTGGGATTATAGGTGTGAGCCACCATGCCCAGCCATGAACCCCTGAACTTAAAAGTTATAAATAGGCTAGGTGCAATGGCTCATGCCTGTAATCTCAGCACTTTGGGAGGCCAAGGCAGAAGGATTGCTTGACCCCAGAAATTCAAACAGCCTAGGCAACATAGGGAGACCCCGCTCCATTGAAAAAAAGAAGACATAAGTAGGTTAGCCAGGTGTAGAGGTATGCACCTGTATGTGGTCCCAGCCACCCAGGAAGCTGAGGTGGGAGGAGGATCACTTGAGCCCGGAAGGTCAAGGCTGCAGCAGTGAGCCATGATCCTGACACTGCACTCCATCCTGGGTGACACAGCAGGGCCCTGTCTCACACAAACAAACAAACAAAAAGGAAAAAAAAAAACCACCCATAAGTAAGGATGGGAAGAATGATGGGGAGAAGGGGACTAGAATGACAGAAAGGAACTTGGTAGTCTGGAAATCACCATAAAAAGAAGGGTAGGGGGTGGTATGTCCATACTTCACTGCCCAATACAGTAGCACCAGCCATGTGGTCAATTTACGTTTAAATTAATGCAAATATTAAGGCTGAGCATGGTGGCATGCCCCTGTGGCACCAGCTACTCAGGAGAGGCCTCAGATAGGAGGACCACTTGGGCCTAGGAGTACAAGGCTGCAGTGGGCCGTGACTGCACCACTGCACGACAGCCTGGGCAACAGAATGAGACCTTGTCTCAAAAAATAAATTAATTGGCCAGGCACGGTGGCTCAAGCCTGTAATCTCAACACTTCGGGAGGCCAAGGTGGGAGGATCGCTTGAGCTCAGGAGTTTAAGACCTGCCTAGGCAATGTGGCAAGACCCTGTCTCTACCAAAAAATACAAAAGACCCAGGTGTGGTGGCGTGTGCCTATAGTCCCAGCTACTTGGGAGGCTAAGGTGAGAGGATGTCTTGAGCCTGGGATGCGGAGGTTGCAGTGAGATCACACCACTGCACTCCAGCCTGGGCCACATAGCCAGATTCTGTCTCCAAAATAAATAAATAAATAAAATTAGCTAATTAATGAATTTTTAAAAATCAAGTAATGAAAATTAAATGAAACATCAAACTGTTCCTTAGTTTCTACAGTCTCCTTCAGGTACACATGTGGCCAGTGGCTTCCGTATTGGGCAGTGCTGTTATAAAACATTCCAGTCATCACAGAGAGTTCGATTGGCCAGTGCTGGTCTATGCAGAGATTGGAAGCTAGGGGTGGGGATGAGAGGAGTTAGGGCAGAGTGCGGGAGAAGGGCCTGACGTGGCAAGATGGAGCAAGGAGAATTGCCCCAGTGCTGGTGGGTGTGGGGACAGGAAAGAGCCAACCCCTGAGGGGTTCTGAGTAAAACAGTGTCCTCAAGGGAGTGCACAAGGTGGGGAAATTGAAAGAAATTGGGAGCCAGAGGTTTTGTGGATGAGGGACATGAATGCCAGAGAGCACAGACGTAAGGCGGAGGGTGGAGGAGGGACTGGAAGAGAGACAGAAGAGGGGGTGTGCTGAGCCATGTGGAGATCAGAGTGAGCAGGGGAGGATGACCTCGGAGCCTGTGGCTTCCTGAACTGTCCTCTAGGCAGAGTGGGGCCAGGCTGGGAGCTGGGGGTGGGAACAGGACCGCCCTTCTCACTTCTACTAATAGAAGCCTGCCAAAGGGATTTTCCTGTTGTTGGTTGATAACTTTTTATTTTAACATAATTTATTTTCTTTTTCTTTTCTTTTGAGACAGGGTCTGGCTCTGTCACCCAGGCTGGAGTGCGGTGACATGATCTCGGCTCGCTGCAACTTTAACCTCCCAGGCTCAAGTGATTCTCCCACCTCAGCCTCCTGGGTAACTGAGACTACAGGCATGCACCACCACAGCCGGCTAATTTTTTGCATTTTTTGTAGAGATGAGGTCTTGCCATATTGCCCAGGCCAGTCTCAAACTCCTGGCCTCAAGTGATCTGCCCGCTTCGTCCTTCTGAAGTGCTGAAATTACAGGTGCGAGTCACCATACCCAATCTCGTTAATTTCAGCCTTACAGAAAAGTTGTAAGACTAGCACAAGGAACTTCCATAGACAGATATGTGTATATGATAGGGCTACTATATTGTCATGTAATATATATTACATAGTTTTCTATATCACCTAATATATACTTACAATATGTACTATATATTATATAATGACATAATTATATGTATAAAATATTTGAGAGTAAATTGTATCTGTTAACTTTCCTCTAATCCAGCCTGGAAGTCACTCATTTCTCCAAGGTCCCTTGGTTTCTTTTAGTGGATAGTGGTATTAGAAACTAAGATCTGGACTACTGATATATTCAGTGCTGCTGGTAAATCATTGCTTCTGAGGTCTCACAGCAAACAGAGCTAGTAAATGGTTTTTTTTTTCTCTCTCTCTCTCCCTTCATGTACCCATCTTAAAATCTAGGAGTTTAGACTGGTACCTCAAGTTTCAGTCCAGTAACACAGAATTTATTCTAGTTTTCGCCTTTTCCGTATTTGGTTTGGGATTTCATTTTTATTTTTCAGAGAGGAGGTCTTGCTCTGTCACCTAGCCTGGAGTGCAGTGATGCAATCATAGCTCACTGCAGCTTCAAACTCCTGGGCTTAAGTTATACTCTTGTACTTAGCCTTCTGAGTAGCTAGGAATACAGGTGCAAGCCACTGCACCTGGCTAATTTTTATTTTTTGTAGAGATGGGGTCTCACTATGTTACTGAGGCTGGCCTTGAACTCATGGCCTCAAGTGAACCTCCCACCTTGGCCTCCCAAAGCACTAGGATTATAGAGAATTGGAATCTCTCTCTCTTTTTTTTTTTTTCTTTTTGAGATGGAGTTTCACTCTTGTTGCCCAGACTGTAGTACAATGGCATATTCTCCGCTCACTGCAACCTCCACCTCCCAGGTTCAAGTGATTCTCCTGTCTCAGCCTTGCTAATAGCTGGGATTACAGGCGCCCGCCATCCCTGGCTAATTTTTTTTTTTATTTTTAGTAGAGACTGTGTTGGCCATAGTAACCATGTTGGCCAGGCTGGTCTCTAACTCCTGGCCTCAAGTGACCCTCATGCCTTGGCCTCCCCAAGTGCTGGAATTACAAGCGTGAGCCACTGCACCCGGCCTGAGAATTAGAATCTTGATTTTGAATTTTCTGCTTAAAATTTAATGATCAGGCTGGGCATGGTGGCTTATACCTGTAATCCCAGCACTTTGGGAAGATGAGGTGGGTGGATCACCTGAGGTCAGGAGGGCGAGACCAGCCTGGCCAACATGGCAAAACCCTGCCGCTACTAAAAATACAAAATTATCCAGACATGGTGGCAGGAGCCTGTAATCCCAGCTACTCAGGAGTCTGAGGCAGGAAAATCGCTTGAGCACAGGAGGCAGAGGTTGCAGTGAGCTGAGATGGTGCCACTACACTCTAGCCTGATTGATGGAGGAAGACTGCATCTCAAAAAAAAAAAAAAAAAGTTAATGATCATTTATTTTTTAATTAATTAGTTAATTTTTAAATAGGAGTGGGGTTTTGCTACATTGCTCAGGCTGGTCTCAAAGTCTTTCCACCTCAGTCTCCCAAAATGCTGAGATTAAATGATCACTTATGTCATTTAATATTCCTCTAAAATGTTTTTAATGATAGCCTGATTATAAAATTACTAATTTGTTCAATCCTCTTTTGTTGGACATATGTGTTGTTTCCAATTTTCAATTTTTTTTTTTTTTGAGATGGAGTCTGGCTCTGTGGCCCAGGCTGGAGTGCAGTGG